CTGCGGCCTAACCTGGTACAGCAGGTCTTCTCACACGGTGAAACCAATAAACACTCCAGGCAGGAATAAAGGGAATGGTGGTACTGTCCTTCAGCTGCAATCCAAATCCTGGATGGTCTGCGGGCCTTGTGCACCCTCAAGCTCAGCTCCTGCACCAGCTTCACCCAGACTTCTTTCCTTTGCTCCTCTGCTCCTCCTAACGGTGGCTAGTCTAGTGCTAATTCCTCTTCCCAGATACTCTACATACGTTCCTTTATTGTATGCAGTACTTCCCTGTTGCTCTGTAAAAACATAATTCTATTAAGTTACAAAACCTGTTCTAAAAGGACTAATAGCAATTCTAAGGTGGTAAAGCAGCCATCAAGTAAAATTTAACTAAAGCTGGTATGCAGGCAGGCCTGTAATCCCAGGTGCCTAGGAGACTAAGGCAGGAGGAAAGAAAGTTCAAGGCCACTCTGGGCAACTTACATGCATCAAAAAGGTGGGTAGAAAGGACCAGGCATGGAAGCACACACCTATAATCCCAGCACATGCGAGGCTGAGACAAGAGGATCGCACCCACACTGAGGCCAGCGTGAGCTACACAGTGAATACAAGGCTAGCCTAAACTGCATAGTGAGGCCTGTCTCAAAAACCCAAAGTGGGGGAGGTGACTTGGGTTTAGCTCAGTGCTAAGGCATTTGCCTAGCAAAACAAACTTAAAATGAACTCAACAGTGAAACACAACCAAACAAGCCATTTATTTCAATGTGGAGAAAAAACACCTATTAGTAACTGCAGCAAAGTTAAAAAGAGGAAAGAGGAAGGAAACCCCCATTTACAGGAACAGCTGTGGTACTTCAGGAACTATACTATGAACCCTAAATCCCTTTCATTTTATTGTGGTGATTGGCTTGTACTTTGCAGCTAAGGAATCAAAGGTTTAAAAGGTTACTTTGCCAGGCTACTTTGCATACCGTGTCATACTTGTAATCCCCAGCACTCTAGGAGACTGAGGCAGAAGGATCTCAAGCTTGAACCCAGCTTGGGCAACTCAGCAATTCAGCAACTTGCAAGACTCAGTCTAAAAATAAAAAAGGCTGAGATACAGCTCAGTTAGAAGCCCCTGGGTTCAATCCCAGTGGGGGTGGGGGAGGAGGATGATGAATTACCCGCTATGGCTTTCAACCAGTATAGACTGAAGCTTGATGTCAACCCAGAAGGTCCTGACTTCAACAACCATGCCAATTCCAGAGCACCCACATTCTTTTCATAATACCATGTGTTCCAAACGGTGAAATAATCGGACAAAATACCTGATTCTCTTCTTGTGATTGCTTATTCAAGAAGAAAAACACATTTTATTAAACATCTAAATCTAGGTTATTTAATTTAAATGCGCCTCAGCAATTTAAGATTCTATTAGGTATACCAAAGCAAATACCGAGAGACACTGTCAACCCCTAAATATACATAGTTACCTCTTCAAAAACAAAAATATTAATGCATTTCTAACATACTAGAGAAAACATGCTGGCAAGAGTGTAGCTAGTGAAGCTGTAACTGCTGTGCAGTCAGGCACGTCCCAGGAAAATGAAAACAACTAACTGTTTGATTTCTTTCTGTTAAGACTAGCCCAGTAACTCTCTAATCAACACAAGCCCCAAACCTGCTAAGACCCACAAGATGTAGCACACCCATGACCTTCCCGTCCACCAGTAAGCAAGAGGGCACAGCTACCCAAAATGAAATGGAAGGACTGAATACTTGCAAAAGCCTACTGCTTCGTTTTTCTCACTCCTTCCTACCGAGATGCAGGACAGCGCTCAGGGCTTTTGTACCCAGCTTCACGGGCAGACCCCCCTAACCCCTTTAAATTTTGAGACAGGTTCTCACTAAATTGTTAAGACTGAGCTCAATCTGCAATCGTACCTCAGCCTTGCAGAGTTCTGGGAATACAGGAATCCTGCCACCATACCCAGCTAAAAGGCCACTTTTTCCAGTAGATGCCTGTATTTGGCCCTAAGAGAGGAGCCAAAATGGAATCATTTATAATGATGTTAACCAAAACTAAGTTATCTGACTTTCTGAGAAATCAAGAGAACCAAATTTCCTCAACAGGCCAGTTTCAATTCTAATGAAAATGAGGTTCCTCCTGCTTGATTTCTTACAGAAAAGTAACCTGCAGTCATCTATTGTTAACCAGTTATTTTTCTATTATCTCCTGGTCACAGCCTTGTAAGGAAAATATCTTGAAAGGGCCAACCCCTCCAGTATTCCCAGAACTCTGGAAGGCTTGAGGCAGGATTGCAGATTGAGCTCAGCCTTAACAATTTAGTGATGGCCTGTCTTCGTTCTTGGTTTCTACTTTCTCCGGCCTTTACTATCTGTAAAACCAACCTCCAACCCCAATGCAGTATACCTGAAATTCCAGCTATTAGGGAGCCTAAGGCTCTCAGGACAGTCACTTGAGCCCAAGGCAGCAGTGGAGATCAGTCGAAGCAAAACAGCAAGATCTCGACTCAAAAAATAAAACTTTGGGGCTGGGGATTTAGCTCAGCGGCATAAGCTCCTGCCTTGCAAGCAGGCAATCGTGAGTTCGATCCCTGATACCGATAAAAATGGGAAAAAATAAAAAAACACTTTAAACTTAAAATAAAACCAACCTCTTCTGCTCATATTCCACTTTTATAGAATAAACTGTTGCACGTTTCTGGGATCACGAAGTGAATGAATTGTAATTCAGTAGTTTGATAACGCAAATAACCCAAACTTCCCAAGGATTTTCCAGGGACTACTGCAATTTACAGTGTTCAAATACTGCACCAAAAGCAAGAGAAAAAGGTTCTGCAGTGGAATGTGGAAAACACTACTGCAACATTCTTCAGCGTTTCCGGTACAGTAATGCAGATTTGACACGAAGAGTAGGAAACGAAACAGCACTGTGGCCCAAACTTCTGTGATCAAGGAACCCTGGGGCATCTCTGAGAATTGGAGACATACCTTCAGCAACACTGACACCAAAACTCAGTTACTGATATCCTATCCTACTCTGTTGCTCTGTTCTGCATCAGTAATTAAAAACACTATGAAAAATAAGACAAACAGCTGGGGATAGGGGGACACCTGGAATCCCAGCACTCTGGGAGCTTGAGGTAGGAGGGTGGCAAACTCCAACCCAGCTCAGGCAATTTATGAAGACCCTGTTTCAGTGTGAAGGCCCTGGGTTCAATTCCTTGTATCACCAAAAAAAAAAAAAAAAAAAAAAAAAAAAAGGCTAGATTCAGCCCTTAGGGTCTGCTTACTGTTCCATATCCGAGGATTCAACCAACCCAACGGAAAATATTTGGGGAAAAAAAGTCTGTACTAAATATGTGAACTTTTCCTTATAATCATTCCCCAAATACAGTTGATGATAAAATCAATATTTACATGGTAATAAACACTACAGTAACAATTAAAAGTACACTGAAAGATGTGCAACGTGTGAAAGTTGTATGTAAATACCACACTATTTGGTATAATTGATAAGCAGTAGCAAAAATTTTGGTAGCCAAGATCTACAACCAAAATCCTTTGGACTAAGGATCAAGTCTACTAGAGTAACTCTGGAAATCAACGAAAAACTTTTTAAAAATCTGAAATTAAACTGGATGTGGTGGCACACACCTGTAATCTCAGCCAGCATTTAGCAATTGAAGCAGCATTGGGAGTTGGTGGCCAGCCAGGGATCTGTAGGGCCTTCAAGGCCAGTCTAATCTGAGACCTTGTAATGACAAAAAAAAAAAAACCAAAACAAAACAAAACAAAACCCAACAATACTATTTTCTCGTAAGAAACCAATACCTACCACCCATAATTTTGACATGAAGGTATTGTGCAATATTAATATACAATTATCAAATCTGATAATGAATGTCCTGTAAATTACTAGCCATCACGATGGGGGTTTGGTTTTTGTCCACTAAGGTTAAAGGAGAGGATGGAATGCACTTCATTATTTCATTCTATAATTTCATCTCTTCACTGTTCACAAGGGTGCCCAGTATGCCCAAGTACATAAACCACTAGATTTAGATTTAATTTTTACAGCCTAACAAAAGCTATGCAGAAAGCAATTATTGTACTCTGCATCAGTCCTTTCAGATTGCAGAGTTCCTTCCAGAAAATTCGAAGAGATGAAAGTTATTGACATATTCTCCTTTCAGTGGGGGACATCATCTTTGGCACAAATCACAATGCACAGTGAAATGCTTTCAAACAGCTGAACGTACCTGTACCGCTTTGTGATGTACACCATAAACAACCAAACCTTCTGACCGTGACTAACAACACTTAAAAACGTACGGACTACCCGAATGTAACCCACACATTTTTTTAAAAACCAAATCGATGTACCAACGATTGCGTACGCAAACTTTGAGATGCGCACGGAACGACGTCGACGACTACATCCATAGTTCCAAACGCAGCCCACAAGGCTGCCGAAAACGCAGCACCACCCTTGCAGGAAGCCGGGGACCGCGACCCGCGCGCTGCGCAGTCCCGACCCCGCACACCCAGCGGGCGCGTTCCTGCGCGCACACCCAAGGTCACGCAGGATGGGGTACCGCGCCTCGCGGCAGGATACAGGGACTTGGGGCGCCCCCGAGCCCGCAACCCTCGCGAGGCGCCACAGTGGTGGGGCCGCAACCCCAAGCCTCGAGGGGCGGCCAGGCCCGCGCGCGTCCCCGGGGTGACCTGCCCGTGGGGGTCTCGCCACGCCCCTCCCCCATGGCCCGAGTTATGCAACCCGCCCCCGCCCCCGCCCCGCACCGAACAAAGCGCGCGCGAAGGGGCCGCGGGCCGGGGACCGGTTGGGGGCGGCCGCCATGTTGGCGGGGGCGCCAGGGCCCGGGTGGGGGCGACGAACAAAGGAGCGCGCGCCCGCCCCAGGCCCGGCCCGCCGCGCCCGGCCGGTAGGGGGCGCTGAGGGGCGCCGCCCGCGGACAATGCACCCAGGGCCCACGGGCCGCGCTCACCTGAGTCCCCGACCGCAGCTGGACCGGCCGCTCGCGCCCTTCACGGCCCACACCCGCCACGTATGCCTCACCTTCTGGCCACCGAGGCCGCCGTGCTGAGGCCCCGTGGGTCCGCCGTGGCTCGCTCACGCTCGCGCCGGCCCAGCCGAGCCAGACGGCGCCTCCCCGCCCCCGCTCCTTGCCGCGGCCACCGCCCGCCCCCCGTCCGCCACGGCGCACGCGCACTGCGGCCGCCGAAATGCGACGGCCGCGCCGCCCCGGCGCCCGGCGCCGACGGCCGCACTACGCAGGCGCGGGGGTGGGGCGGGGCCGACGCGGGGGCGGGGCCTGGCGCCGCTCACCTGGAGGGCGGGGCGCAGGTCCCAGGCTGCCAGGTGGGTGCCGGGAAGCGGCGGCTGTTGGTGCGCAGCTGCTGTGGTGCAGGAAGCTCGGCGAGCCCGAAAAGATTTCGTTTTCGTGCTGCAGGAGGGTTTTGGGGAAGTAGACCATTCTCCTGGACGTCAGCAGCCGTGGGCTTGAGGCGTCAGACCTCGAAGATGGATGAAGTTGCATCACATGGCGTGGCTGGTGCGCAGGACAGGTGAGCTCCGAGCGACGCAGACCCAGCAGCCTGGCTCCGTCCTCCGGATTGGATTCGCTCTCGCGGCTCCCTAGACGGGGCTTTCCTCCACCACCGCACTGCGGAGAGGCCGGCAGGCGCCACTCCTCGCCCACAGCTGCCTCCTTGCAGAAAGCCGGGCGCGCAGCCTGGCTGAGAGCCCAGAGCGTCACATACCCGCACCTGGCGTGGCTTCTGCAAGACCAGAAGCCTGCTGTGTCTACTCGCCTCGCAGAGGACCTCACCCAGCTCTCACAAGGTTTGGAGCCAGACATTCCCACGATCGCAAGAAAATTGATTGAACTTTGGTTTCACTTACGATGCATATTTTGAGTCTTTTTTTCTTGCTTGCCGAAGGAAGGGGGAGAGAATGCAGCTTGAAGCTCTCCTCTCCACTCCCCTCCTCTAGTCCAATATCCTGGAGCTGATCAAAGAGTTGGTTCCTAGAGTGCAACAGCACCACCGTCTCCCAAAGCGTCTCAGGTCAAATTACAGGACCTATTACTGGAAAGCACTTCGTAAGCTCCACACTGCTGCACAGTTGTCAGTTAGCAATGCTCTTTGGGTTTTACTGGGACCTTTTTACCCAAGTAAGATTGATACATGTCCTCTCAAATAAATTAAAGTACTCGTCTCGGATGACATATTTGGCAGGCAGAACAGGTTCACAGGCCAAGTAGAGGGCTAATTTCATTACAGAGATACCAGTGCAAGAGCATTGAGTCGGGATTAGCTTTCGTTTGCGTGTTTAATGTGTAACAGCAGAGAGTGTCAGGAGTGAGGAGGGATTGTGGTGCCACTGAGGCAGCTCTTGGAACACTGCCATGTCATTGGTGAGACCCCCGAGTTTCACCACATTAGCACTATCGAATCTGGGAGCTGGACACTTTTTTTCGAGGTTTGTCCTGTGCATTTTAGGTTGTTTGGAGTATCCCTGGCCTCTACCCAGTAGATGGCATTAGCAAACAGCCTCCCACAAGGCTGATAAGGAAATCTGTCTCAAAGGCAAACATGTTCTTTCTCCTTCCAACCCGAGATTTAAATTTTGCCTCTAGGGATGGTCACAGCAAATACGAAGGCTACGTTAGGCGTGGTAGTGGGGGAGGCAGAGGCAGGAAGATCACCTGGAGTTTGAAACCAACTGGGGCTACACGGTGTAAGGCCAGCCAGAGTGATACCCTGCCTCAAAAAATGAACAAAAAGGGGCTGGGAATTTAGCTCAGTAACGTAAGCACCTGCCTTACAAGCAGGCAGTCATGAGTTCCATCCCAGGTACTGATAAAAAGGAAAAAGACAAAAAAAAAAAAAAAAAAAGAACACACAGGGTAAGCTGGGTGTGGTGAATTATACCAGTGATCCTAGCAATCTGTGAAGCAGAGGCAGGAGGATGGCAAGGGCTAGTACAGTCCAGTCTGAGCATGTTTCTAAAGTATCCTGGCTTAAACTAAGAAATAGATCTGGGAATGTAGCCCAGTGAGCAGGCCCTGGGTCCAAGCACCAGTGGAGTTTTATGGGTATGTGCCAGCAGGTATCTTTTTTTTTTTTTTTTTTTGGTCTTTTTCCTTTTAATGGGTACCAGGGATCGAACTCACGACTGCCCCACCAGCAGGTATCTTGAATGAATCTAATCAACAGGAGGGAGAACATTCAGACCAGTCCACAGTGAGAGAGATTCTAGAGAACAGCTGCAGTGGACTTTTAAAAAAACTTACTATCAGGGAAAAAACAAAAAGCCAGGGAATCCATCCAGGAAAAGGATATCCTATTCAAGTCCCATCAGCTGACCCCTTGACCCAGCACTAGTTTAAAGTAGGAAGCTACATTTGAAGGAAGGAGAACTTCGTGTGCGAACTTCATACACATTGAAGAATAATACTGAATCATCAAAATATTTAGCTTTCCTATGACTCACAAGAATGTCCCTTGGGCTGGGGATTTAGCTCGGTTGCGTAAGCACCTGCTTTGCAAGCAGGTGGTCGTGAGTTCGATCCCTAGTACTGATAAAAGTTTAAAAAAAAAAAAAAGAATTGGGGCGGGGATTTAGCTCAGCAGCATAAGCGCCTGCTTTCCAAGCAGGCAGTCGTGAGTTCCATCCCTGGTACCGATAAAAACGAAAAAGACCAAAAAGAATGTCCTTATTCTTAAGGGATACTTACTGAATCATTTAAAGTCAAAAGTCCTGGTGACTGCTATCAAATGGCTCAAAAATTGGTATATTGTCAGGGAAGACAAGGACACACCTGTAATCCTGCACTTGGGAGGCTGATACAGGAGGATCACTTCAAACTCGAGGCCGGCCTACACTATGTAGCAAGACCCTGTCTCAGAAAACAAAAGAAATAAATACGTTTATCTTCAGATTTACTTTCAGAACTGATAGCTTTCAAGTGTCAATAAAGTGAATATAGCTAATTGTTAGCAATTGATGAATCTGGCTGATTGGCCTGTCACTATTCAGTCTTTTCCAGCTCTTCTGGAGAACTTAAATTTCTCAAAATAAAAGGAAGTTGGGAAATTAGAATGACTTTTTTCTCTGTCCAGGGGATTGAACGTAGGGTATTTTTACTGAGCTACAATCCCAGCCCTTTTTTTAGTTTTGAGACCAAGTCTTACTGAGTTGCCCAAGGGCTGGGCTCAAATTTGCCAACCTCTTTCCTCACCTCTTGCAGTGGTAGGATTGCCGGTGGGCACCACATATAGGAGATGACCCAGGTGGCTCCTCTTGAATGCTGAACAATTGTTTCAGTATTAAACTGAACCTTATCTCTGTGTACTGATATGTGGAGCTGGCTATGCTATTTTTCCCCCCCTTGAATTGGGGATATAGCTTAGTGATAATAAGCATTTGCCTGGCAAGCACGAAGTCATGAGTTCTAACCCCAGTACCAAAAAAAGGAATAAATATTATTGGAATCTTAGCTAGTTAATTGTAATCTATTACCTCCAGTGCAACCCATGACTAGAATAAAGACACCTAGCAATGTAAGTAAAGCCAGCTGAGGCACTGATATGTAATCCTTGAAGCCATCATGTTTCCTGTAAACAGTTGAGCCCAGCAGGATGGCAGAGCCACATAGCTCCAGGACTATCAACTGGTTCAAGCCACAAGATCAGAGGCTATGACTTTCCAGGGCACAAAAGTGTACATGTCAAAACCCAAAGCAACAGCCTCCTAAAGTTATTTAAATGATTTAGGATTAAATCAAATTATACCAGTTGGTCTTTTTACATACTGTTTCCCTTGCGTATTGCCGAGGTGTTTGCTTTCCAGCTGGCCAGCTCAGCTCACCTTGCTCACATAAGTCCCGCCAATCTTATCCTTAAGCCACTCTTTTCTTCACATGATAATAAATTTTGAGTGAAGCCTTAAATCAGGGCCTTTGTCCTGTGAATCCTCACCTAGACTGGGCTCAGGACCCTTTGGCTGCCCATAACTTTGAATATATCTTAGTGTCTTTATTCTAGCCATTGGTTACACTAGAGGTAATAGATTAAAATTAACTAGCTAAGATTCCAATAATAATTTTTTTTGTACTGGGGTTAGAACTCATGACCTTGTGCTTGTATCATTAAACTATATTCCCAGCCCCTCAAATAATGGGTTTTTTTGGAGAGGTAGCACCAAAGCAATAAAATTTTAATGGGATTACAAATATAAAATTTCTCAAGCTTTGAGGAGGATGAGAAAAGGGATTCCTGTATTTGGATTATAATATCACCATACTTAGAGTTATTTTTTCTACAGATTCTCAACCATACTTCTGAAGATCGAATCAGAGAGTCAGTGTGGTTTTTTTCCCATAGCCATCTGATTAAATACAATTAACACAATAAGCTCTATCTGCAGCTTTTTCTTTTTTTGTCTTGACATAACATCTTGCTAAGTTGCCCAGGTTGGCCTCAACTTGAAATCCTTCTGCCTCAGCCACCTGAGCAGATGGTATTATAGGTGTGCATCTCTGCCCAGCTTTGGTGCTGGTCATCTGAATGTGTCCCTCAAAGGTTCATGTTTTGGAAGCTTAGTCCCCAATGTGATGATAATAGGTTGACATAATTAGGTTCTTGTGGATTACCATCTTCAAAAGGGATTCAGAGGCAAGGATTCTTATGAGTCTCCAGTTCTCAAAAGAAGATTGTTACAAAAGACCCAGAAGAGGTCTGGGGATTTAGCTCAGTGGCATAAATGCCTGCCTGGCAAGTACAAGGTAGTGGGTTCAGTCTCTGGTACCCAAAAGTTAAAAAGACCCATATAAGCTAAATTCAATGGGTGTGGCTTAGTGGTAGATACCTGAGTAGATATCTGGACTATCTCCAGTACCAGAAAAAATAGAAGGAAGAGAGGGGAAAATGGAGCAAAGGAGAAAGAAAGAAACCCTGGCTTTGGCTTCCTGTGTAACCACATAACCTCTCCCTTGCACATGTGAACTCACCATGCTGCCATCTGCCATGATAGGATGCAGCAAAGGGAGCCCTCACCAGAACTGGTGCCATTTAGACTTTCAGCCTTCAAGACTATAAGCTAAAAAAAGTTGTCTTTGCATATTATTCAGTGTTGAGGATTTTTTTTAATAGCACAGGAAATGGA